GCGGCCTGCGCCACATAGGCTTCCATCGAGGAAGTATGTAAGGCAGCCACATGGTCTTCCCCATCACCATTCATACGGCACTACAAACTGGACAGGTATGCTTCCGCCGAGGCATCCTTTGGCAGGAGGGTCCTCCAACAAGTGGTGCCTTGTGACATGGCTCCAAACTTGCCTGCTTCCCTCCTGTAAGGACAGTGGGCTTTGGTATGTCCCATTAGTGGATTATACATCTCCAATGCTGGAGAAGGGGCGTTTTCTTACCTGAACGCCATTTCTCAGCACGGAGATGGATAATCCACACCCACCCATTTAGGTCCTTAGGCCTAGGGTTTGTTCTGTGAGCCAACACGTCATGCTGTCAGTCAGTAGCTGCATCCTCGTCGAAAACTGGGGCAAACAGGCCCCGGACAGGTGTGGCAAGTTTGGCTGACTTGATCTGATTGGGCAGGAGGATTAAGTTAACCCATTAGTGGATTATCCATCTCCGTGCTGAGAAACGGAGTTCAGATAAGACAATGCCCTTTTCATGACAATGCCACAATTTTCAGTTTCAATTTCAGTTTCTTGAACTTCACCTGTGCTTTTGGTTCTGATATCATATTATATTTTTAGATCCAGTTTCAGCTTTTCAGTTTTTATTAGGTTTTTAAACTGTCCTCATTATTTTTACAAATCTTAGTTTTAAGTTCTTTCAAATTGTTTAGATTCAAAATTTTGAATATATTAAAAGTTTTTAACATTTCCTCTAAAGCTATTTTTGCTGTGTTCTTATTAAATGCTTTTATTAAACTTTTTCTGACACAGTTTGTGCTCTTTTGTTATCTTCATTAGGTTCGAGTTTTCATTTCCTAAGGAAAGCTTTCTTCATTTTTACAGCTCTCTAAACTAGTGGTGGCAAACCTATGGCACAGGTGCCAGAGGTGGCACTCAGAGCCCTCTCTGTGGGCACCTGCGCCGTCGCCCCAGTCCTAGGCCTTCAGCTGGATTTTATAAAACCTTTTTGCTTTAGGCCTCCACTACCATGTGCAAAAAGAAAAAAAAAGGTTCAATCAGTCAGTCAATTTCAACTTCTTGCAAAGTTGGAATTGATTGACTGAACTTTTTAGTCCCACTCAGTCTGCCGTTACCACCGCAGCCACCACCCCCCCAATGAGCCAACTCCCAATGGGCCACACTCACCCAATAGGCCATGCCCACCCGGCACCTGACGATGTATAAGTGGGTTTTGGGTTGCAGATGGGCACTCGGTCTCTAAAAGGTTCACCATCACTGCTCTAGAACCTATTGAAGTGATATGCTGTGCTGTTGCTTGTTTTGGTTGCTCCTTTTGTACCTTATGGAATACATTCAACATCCGTTTCAATTATTGTTATTTTAAATAAATCTGAGCATTATGAAGATGCTATCTTGTGACAAGATCATGGCCACCATTTAAGATTAAAGCTAAGATTAATAAATCTGATCAGATGAGCATATTCTTACCTCGAATGATGGCACAGTGTTTTGAATGCAGTATTGCAGGCTAACTTTGCTCACAGCCAGGAGTTCAATCCTGACCGGCTCAAGATTGACTCAGCCTTCCATCCTTCTGAGGTAAAATGAGGACCCAGATTGTTGGGGGCTATATGCTGACTATGTAAACCGCCCAGAGAGTGCTGTAAAGCACTACAGAGCAGTATATAAGTCTAAGTGCTATTGCTATTTGTAGACAACATCTGCCACCTTTAATTATTATCTGAAGGATACATTCTTTCAATGTTTGCTAGTTATAAAGAATGTATGCAGAATACATATATAAAGTTCATATCCAGATGTTATATTCCACTGATTCACCGCATTCCATTAGATTTCTAGTAAACCCTCTTGTTATTAATGAAAAGTTACAAGCAGGCATTTACAACCAGTCGATGAAAATACTAGATTGGTGAAGACAATCACTACCATCAAGAAAATGAGAAACTGCTTGTCACACAGAAAAGAAATACTTCAGTTTCCCCCTCTTAAAATTTAAGGCTATTTCAAAACTAAGAGAATTCAAAGACCTCAGCTAGAAGAAGAAAACCGTTATTAAGGCTGGCAAAAGGCCTGGGATTTTTTCCACTTTACCAGCAATCTCAGAATTAATACTGAATTCTCCAGGAAGCAGAAAGTCTAGGAATAATCGAGACAGAAGGAATATCTGTTCAGATTTTTTTTATTTTTATCAAATTTATGTTAATAAAATGCTTTTGGAGTAAAAATCTATCTAAAGACAGTTTTATATTTAAGATACATTAATAATTTAGTTTATTCAGCATGAAATGGAGCTTAGTTATGTAGCATGAGGCTGTATATTCTGCAATATTTACATTTTTGGTAAACTTATTCAATGAATTCAGGCTCTACAAACTGAGATAACATGCACTGCATTGATGCATTCACACAATTTCATAGTAACCATGAGATAAATCATAAAACAAAGTTCAGGAATATTCCTTTATCCCATTGCTTTGCAAATCTATGTACACTACAAACTTTATGTACACTACAAACTTTATGATTGTTTGAAGAGAAATGCATCTGTACCAGGCTCTAAGTATTTTAATTAAATTAAATAATTTGAGTAGTTCTCTAACTATGTGTGATTAACCTATTAACCTTAAATTGATTCTGATATCCCTGTTCTACTAACCTGACAGCTTATTATCCTAAATAGGAAACCTTCATTTTGTTTGCAAATAATATTAAAGATTCTAACCACCAGCAAGAATGAGTCCTTACATTTAAAGAGCACCTGTCATTTCAGATCTATTATGGCAGCGCCTGTTAGCGGGCATCCACTCACCTGCTGCCTGCCACGTCCCTCACCTTGGTGTATCACTGCTTTATCACCAACTGTCCCATTAAAGTGAATGGGACTGACGGTGAGTCAACAGCAGGTCAGAGGAGCCACTGCGGGACGGAGATGACAGTTGCTCTTTAAAAATTATGATTTAAATCAAGCTGATTTAAATCAAGCCTTTTTACTAGTGATTTATCGTGATTTAAATCGACTTGATTTAAATCAAATCCACAGATCTATTTAATCTAAACAGATCTATTTAATTAGTAATTAAATTATTTTAGCAATTGCTAAACGTTTTATATAAACACACTTCATATGAGTTATAACAATAAAGAGTTTATGCAGGCTAACACAGAATGGATGTTAATGAACTTTACAGCATACAGATTTTAACATTCAACTCATTTTAACTTAGAAGACATGACTTGATACTATTTCCCAAAACATTTTGTATTGTTAGCATCCAATAATCTAACAAATATATTTGTATTTAGAAAAACTCAGGATGGTGACTTGGTAAAACTTCAGTAGTTGTTCCCCATTCTCACTTCAGTATACATTTCTGTTCAACTGCTACAATATTACATTTAGAAGTTTTTTTAAATCATTTCAAATTTAATATACTTAAGCTAATGGTTTTCCATTAAAGAATACTTTAATCCTTTTTTGCATCTCTGCTTTTGAAGTTATTGATACATGATTTTGTTTTTATGCCTAAATTACACAGGCACATTCCAATTTTGAAGCCGTATCTACAAAATCTCTGTATGTTAATTCCCATAAATAAGAATAATCCCCAATTTATTATATTAAACTATAAATGAGCAATTCCAAATAAGTAACATCTACAAATTAAATCCTTCCCTGAAACAATACCAACTTATGAAAAGAAAAAAACATCATTAACAATAAATGAAAGTGTCATGTGGAAAGCATAAGCACACAAGAAATATTTTTTATTCTATATAAATATCTGTTATATTTAAAATCATACTAGGTAGTAATGAAATTAAGAACCAGATGGTAAAATATGTTACCATATGGTAAGCTGATTGCCTATAAGAATGGGATAAATTGTTTTAGTTTATGGCAAAAATAATAACTTACTAAGGAATGTTTGTCACACAAACATCATTACCTCATTCTGCTCCCCCCAGTAGTAAATTTTAGATTGAGAGGATCCACTCTGTTTTCTCTCATCTAACTTTTTAAAGACAACCAACTGTTTTAAGAGTTAGAAAGCATGTGTGCTTTTAAGCATTAAAGTCTTTAAAAAAAACCAGAAGCCTGAATATAGCAATGCTGTTTATTCTCCCAACACATCCACATAACAATTTCCTAATTGTTTAAAGTCATATCAATAACTACATTAAAAGAACCAGAGCAACTATATTTGTTCCAAAACTTTAACCTCTAGTCAAGACTTTCAACAAGTTTAAATATATTTATCCATGTTGCAGTATTTACCCTAGTCATTGATATTCATCCCCTACCCCAAAAGCCATTTATTTTCCCACTCTAACATATACAATAACTGAATTTGTTTCATTTACAAATACCTGTTTGGACCAATTAAGAATTCTGGCACAATACATCATCTCCTAGTTCAAGGAACAGATAATAATCTCACTATTAAGTGAAATCAAAATAAATTTTAATTAGAAACAAGGCACTACCTAAGTGAACTTTAGATCACCTTTCATCCCCTGACAAAACCGGCAACTGAATACATTATGTACAATATGTCTAGAGAAGACTTATTTATATGTATGCCTGAATGCCTCTCTTGATTATATACAACATCCTCTCTTAAGCGAAGTGACAAACTAAGGAAAGCTCTCCAACAAGTGTAACACGCCTCAGGACTTCACTTGCCAAGTCTTTTTCATACGGAGAAACTCTGACCTTCTTACCACTACCAAATCTTTGGGGTCTTTCGTTCCTGGGTTCATAATTCATCACGAATTCCTTAATGTCAAGTCAAAGAAGCCTCTCAAGGCCTCTTGAAAGGAGGTTTGCGGACCTGCCGAAGTCGGGAGCGGGTCACCGACAACAAACCTTTTGGGAGCGAAACACGGCGCGCCCGCCCAAGGAGCAATAACACCCTCGGGAAGTGGGAGGGGAACAAACCAAGCGCTCCAAGTCCGAACCGTCCCAGTCCCTCGCTCCAACTCACCTCGCTTGCTGGGCCGGCCAAGAGCCCCGTCACCGGAGCTTCCCCGCCTACCCTTGTGAGGCTTCTCCCCAGAGGAACGGCCAGGCTCCGAGTCCCCACTGTCCGGACGGTGCCGGTGTCGGTGGTGATGTCGCCGCTCGCAGTGCAGGGCCTGCGCGGGCAGGCTAAGCGGAGAGAAAGTGAAAAGCCCAGCGGGGGCGGAAGGCACGGCAGGAGTCGCTGGGAGGCCGGGAACGGAGGCCGGCGGCAGCGGCTCTGCCTGAGAGGGCCTCACCGTAAGCGGGGGCTGGGTCAACTTGGCCCTCTTGCAGCTCCCGGCATCCCCGAGAGAACCTTTCCGCTTCCTCCCCCCTCCCCTCGGTCGACCAGGCCGGTCACCGAGTGGCAGCGAAGGCGTCTCTTCCGCGCCTCGGGCCACGGCGCGTACTGCGGCGACCTGCGCAGCCATTTCGCACTCTCCCTCACACACATTTAAATGGCCCGAGCGCCTGTAAACGCTGCGCAGGCGTCGCTTGTCACTCTCTGGGAATTGTGGTCCAGTATTGCACGTCGGGATCTGTAGTTTTCGTTAACTGAATGTATGCTTGTTTATGCAAAGATTGCTGGGAAATAAAGTTTTCGTTCCAGCTTTCAGTAGTTTTCAACGAAGAAGAGCGTGCAGGCAGTCACGCAGTACGGCCACATCACGTAGACCTTGGGCTTCCGCCGGGGGGGGGGGGAAGTGGGGGTAAATTTCAGTCGTGCGTGAGTGGGCGGGGGAATCCCGATGTTTTAAAGGAGTGTGCATATTAGTTCAGCTTTGGATTCTCTTTTCTATGCCGAGATTAGATACTGGGAATTATAATCTATTGTTATCAAAGATGGGATTTCTAAGCACGTGCAGAGTGCGTGTTATCGCCGTTAATATAAGTAATTCAGATCACGGCTTCCATTTCATAAGCAACTGATTAGTCAGTGTTTATATGTGCTTAAAACCAGCCACAGGAACATGTATGGTGTAAATGTATAGAGTGCTAAAAATGCCAAAGTCCTGAAATGTATATGCGTGTTATTAAAATAAACAGCACTTTGGAAAGTTTCGATAGTCGAACGATTACAATCTTATTTTGCCGAGGCTAGGAATGAGACTCAGGCTGCTTTATGTTATTTGTTTTATGCTTGGCTATGGCAGTTGAATAACTGGATGAAAACTAATAGATTTCCGTGAAATTAGAAATATAATTAGAAAAGGCCGAGCAAACCTCAAAAGTTAAGCTTTTGATTGGCTTACAGCTCTTCTCTGTAATTATTAATGGTTTTCCTCAATTTCCTGGTTGGGTTAGATGTTCTTTGCTACAGTGTTAAAGATCTCCCCATACTCAGTGAGGTACCTATGTCTGGTAGCAGATGTTTTGATGAATATTTTAAGTTTATTGTGCACATTCTGCAATTTATTCTGCCTTAATGTCATGATTTAAAGTCTGCTGCTTGCTTTTCACTTAATTCCCACAGCACTGCCTCATTTTTTATCTCTTCTCCTCTTCTCCTCTTTCCTACTATCTTCTCCTTGATTCCTTTTGATTTATCAGTTGTTGTTTGTAACTTGTGATTAATGATTCTAAACTACGATTTATGATCTATGACCTATTACTTGCTGTTTATATGTACACTGTGAGCTTATGCACCAGAGACAAATTCCTTCTGTGTCCAATGACACTTGGCCAATGAGGAATTCTGTTATATTCTATTCTTTTCTGTTCTGTTCTTATTCTGTCCTATCCTATTCTATCCTAGAAATTTATTCTGCTTCGTTAAAACTTTCCAAAATGAAGTTACTTTTTCAGCCATCTCCAGAACATTTGAACTTAATGCATTCTCAAAAGGCTACACATATTTCATAAAGGGCAAAACAACAGTACTCAGACTGATATATGTAAGCCCAGGACAATTCTGATGCAAATATATCTGGGATAACAATATAGCAGGAAAACCGTGGTAGTGTGCAGTAACAAAAAAAAATCAGATGAATAATGTGGTTTGATTGTAATTTAAACTGAGATGGGGGGAGGAGATCTGTTTCACATGTAACATGCACTGCACAATCAACCTGCCTCCCCCCACATTCAATGTAGCCATTCTATGCATCTGATAAATTGAACAGCAGCTCATGAAAGCTTATGCCTTTTAATAAGATTTGTTAATTGGAAAAGGTGCTACCAGATGCCTAAAACAGTTTCTCGTGAAATTAAAAGACACTTGTAATACCTAAAAAAATTACAGAAATTAGTGGAAATGTATGGACTGAGTAATATTTGAGAGATGATGAATCCCTCAATAGTAACCTTTATTATTCAGGTAGCTACTCTTCTCATACTATTTAATCTTCAAATAGTAATTGCTCTCCAAAATCAAAATGGAACTCACAATCAAAACAAGTATTTTGATTTGATACATTACAAAATATCTTGAAAATACAATAAATGAGTGAATAGAGGGCAACCCAAACTTTGCTCTTCGCTGGTGAAGAGCACTTCAGAATGCAAAGCTCCTATTTCACTTACTCAAAAGAAATCACTTGATATAAATTTTAAAAGTGTGCTCAAATGTCCACCAGCTGCAAATAGTACCCTTCCTGATAAATAATGGTTATTATAGTCAGATATCTTTCCAATCTCTTATCTGTTTCAAAAGCAAGGGAAGCTGAAGTCACATCTCCATGACAGTCATAGACCCAGAATATATGAATGACAAATGACATGCCTTTCTACTAAAAACCAAGTACCATTCTTGAACAGCAACACAATTTATATTTCTACAGTGGCAGACTTAAGGTAACACCATAAGACACTGCGATTATTTGAACCTTAGCATTTATTTTTTGTTCATCTCAATATGTTGTTCCAAACTTTTACCTGATGTTGTCTGATGGAAATAAATATTGGAAGTAGCACAACACCTCTCTGATCCCATTTCCTCAGCATGATATGTAGTTCAGATCAGATAGACAGGTGAGATTATATATTAATTTTATGAAGAACATGCAGAAGTATTTTTGTTCAGAATGATGCTGTTTATTGGAAACAAACAGGAGAAACACCAGCAAGGCAAATCAACAGGACTAGAGCCATAGAAGATAAGAAATTCTTCTAAATATTCCAATTTGGTGGTGGATTTCTTGGTCCTTTGGGTTTGGAAAATCGGTTTGCAAAGCCTATGACACAAAATTAAAAAACTGTTAAGCTTTACTATCATATTTTATCTCAATAAAATAAATCTTCAGTGAGTCTGAAGCAAAAACTTACTGGGTATGCATGTCACCGAGCAAAGCTATGTGATAGACAGAGCAGCTATTCCAAACAATTACTTTGACAACTGTAGTAATTATTTTTCACCATAAAGCAATCAAGTAATTTTTAAAATCGAAGCTAAGCAATAAATGTATAATATGTTCTTCTAGTACAGATATTAAATAAATTTAAAATGCTTAAATGTAGCAATAATATTTGCATGTGGTGGTATAGGTTGGTGCTACCAATTTATTAAATTATTTTATATCTGTCTAATTATCTATCATCATCTCTGTCTAGTAAAGTTGCTGAAAGTTGAGCATTCTTTCATTTAGGAGCTGAGAACAGGTAGTCTTTGACTTACGACCAAATGGAGCCCAAAATTTCTGTTAAGTGAGACACTTGTTAAGTGAATTTTGCCCCATTTTACTACCTTTCTTGCTACAATTGTTAAGTGAATCACTGTAGTTGATAAGTTAGTAACTCAGTTGTTAAGAGAATCTGGTTTTCCCATTGACTTTGCTTGTCAGTAGGTCACAAAAGGTAATCATATGACCTTGGGACACAACAGTGGTCATCCATATGAGCCAGTTGCCAAGCATCTGAGTTTGATCACATGTCTATGGGGATGCTGCAAACATTATACCTGTGAAAAATGGTCATAAATCACTTTTTTCAGGGCTGTTGTAACTGAACAGTAACTAAATGAGCTGTTGTAAGTCGAGGACTATCTGTACATGATATTATTACCTATTTTTCCCACAACAACAATGCTGATGATGTGGTTAAAGTGATTGGCTCAAAAGTTACCCACTGGCTTTCTAAAGACGACTAGAAATTAGATCTTCTTGGGCAAATATCACAAAATTTTGCACTATTTTCAGAAAGGATTTTTTTCTTCCTCCTGCCAACATGTCAATGCCATTTTTCCCTAGTTCTCAACATGTATTTTCCCATTTCAATTTAATCCTAGGTGTTTTCAGTCACTTTAAATTATTTGAGAAGGCTATCTAGCCATAAAATAAAACTGTTGGCACCAATTAAAATAAGAATTAGAAAATATACCATATTTATCATATTAAATTATACCATATTAAATATTTACCATACTTAATAAATGTAAAAAGAATTCTGGCCATGCTTTGCAATGTTTGTATATATCCATATGATCCTATATATAGTAGGATGAGAAATTTTGGTGATTGCGTTACAAACTATTTACTGGAAAGTTGTAGTAATAGTTTTTGAGAATGCAAGAAAACAGGATCGGTAGTATTCTAATTTTGGATTTCAGTATTATTCTAGTAGTAAATTGAACATTGAAGCATATTTATTTTTAAAAATGCATACCAAAACTCAGAATAGAGTTGTGATGATTTGACTGATTATGTTCCGGAGCTCTTAGTAGTGAAGGTGGGTTCCAAATACCTAAAAATTCAAAAATGTCTTTAGTAAGTCATAGTCTGATAAAGATAGATTTCTTGCATTGCAAAATGATTCCTGATGTTAGGGAAATCTTGCTGAAATTGGAATAGGAAAGATAAAAGAATATCCATTAATCTTACCACTCATTATGAATGCAATATTGTAAACCATTGATATCTAATACTAGTGCTTGTGCTCTTTAGGTGTTCTATCCATTAACAATTGTTTATTTCATAATGACATGCTTGTGTAATTATGTAAAAGTTTACATGATAGAAGAAAGTGGACTTAGTCACGTGGATTTTACCATTTTACTTTTTTGAAAATCCATAGAAAAGGTTCCCCCATGTAATTAGATGAACCTCTAATAAACACTACTGAATTAGTTGTTATTGAATTTGAAAGTTGAGAGACTTTGCCAGTAAACCTACAATACCAAGCAGCTATATGACGTTTTCTCAAATCTGGCTTTGTGTAGACATGTTAGAAATCATCGAATAGGGAAAAGGTGCTAAAGAACATTTCAGCTGCCACGGTTAGAATAGTATATGAGGATTTTGTTAATAACCTATTATTGGTATAATAGTAATAATGATGATGATGATGGAACAGACCTTGGAGATCATCTACTCCAACCCCCTGCTCAGGTAGGAAACCCTATACCATTTCAGACAAATGGCTATCCAGTCTCTTCTTAAACTTCCAGGGTTGGAGCATTCACAGCTTCCAGAGGCAGGTTGTTCCATTGATTAATTGTTCTAACTGTCAGGATTTTTTTTCTTAGTTCTAGGTCAGTGGTGGCGAACCTTTTATAGACTGAGTGCCCAAAAACTGGCCCTGCCCCCACTCCTCCCCCCTGCCCGCCTCCGCTCTGCCCCCCATCCCCCATCCCCCGCCCCACCTGCCCACAGGACCACTCAGCGGCTCCAGGGTCTGCCGCAGCGCTATGGCAGCCACACCCTCTGCCCGCACCCTGCAGCATCAACTGCATGATGGGGTGTGAGGGC